ACCACCACCACTACTACACCACCACCACTACTACACCACCACCACTACTACACCACCACCACTACTACACCACCACCACTACTACACCACCACCACTACTGCTACCACCACCACCAACACCACCACCACCAACACCACCACCACCACCACCACCACATCACTACCCCCACCACCACCCTCACCACCACCACCCTCACCACCACCACCCTCACCACCACCACCCTCACCACCACCGCCACCACCACCACCACCAACACCACCACCACCACCACCACTACTACACCACCACCCCGCTCACCGGCTGGAGTAAGCGAAGGCCGTGAAGAAGACGGCAAGGCCGTGCCGCCTTTGTCTCTCCCAGTACTAACAATGTTCACTACATCACCACCACCACCACCACCCTCACCACCACCACCCTCACCACCACTACACCACCACTACTACACCACCACCACCACCCTCACCACCACCACCCTCACCACTACTACACCACCACCACTACTACACCACCACCCTCACCACCACCACCACTACTACACCACCATCACCACCACCCCCACCACCACCACCACCACTACCCTCGCCACCAACACCACCCTACCACCTCCACCACCACTACTACACCACCACCACTACTACACCACCACCACCACCACCCTCACCACCACCTCCACCACTACTACACCACCACCACTACTACACCACCACCACTACTACACCACCACCACTACTACACCACCACCACTACTACACCACCACCACTACTACACCACCACCACTACTGCTACCACCACCACCATCACCACCAACACCACCACCACCACCACCACCAACACCACCACCACCACCACATCACTACCCCCACCACCACCCTCACCACCACCACCCTCACCACCACCACCCTCACCACCACCGCCACCACCACCACCACCAACACCACCACCACCACCACCACTACTACACCACCACCCCGCTCACCGGCTGGAGTAAGCGAAGGCCGTGAAGAAGACGGCAAGGCCGTGCCGCCTTTGTCTCTCCCAGTACTAACAATGTTCACTACAACACCACCACCACCACCACCCTCACCACCACCACCCTCACCACCACTACACCACCACTACTACACCACCACCACCACCCTCACCACCACCACCCTCACCACTACTACACCACCACCACTACTACACCACCACCACCACCACTACTACACCACCACCCTCACCACCACCACCACTACTACACCACCATCACCACCACCCCCACCACCACCACTACCCTCACCACCACCACCACCCTACCACCTCCACCACCACTACTACACCACCACCACTACTACAACACCACCCTCACCACCACCACCACCACTACTACACCACCATCACCACCACCCCCACCACCACCACCACCACTACCCTCACCACCACCACCACCCTACCACCTCCACCACCACTACTACACCACCACCACTACTACACCACCCTCACCACTACTACACCACTGCTACTACACCACCACCACCACCACCCTCACCACCACCACTACTACTACACCCTCACCACCCTCACCACCACCACCACCTCACCGGCTGGAGTAAGCGAAGGCCGTGAAGAAGACGGCAAGGCCGTGCCGCCTTTGTCTCTCCCAGTACTAACAATGTTCACTACATCACCACCACCGCTACACCACCACCACTACTACACCACCACCACCCTCACCACCACCCTCACCACCACCACCGCCACCACCACTACACCACTACCACCACTACTACACCACCACCACCACCACCGCTACTACACCACCACCACCACCACTACTACACCACCACCACCCTCACCACCCTCACCACCGCCACCACCCCCCTCACCACCACCACTACTACACCACCACCCTCACCACCGCCACCACCACCACCACCACTACTACACCACCACCACCGCCACCACCACCACCACCACCCGCTCACCGGCTGGAGTAAGCGAAGGCCGTGAAGAAGACGGCAAGGCCGTGCCGCCTTTGTCTCTCCCAGTACTAACAATGTTCACTACATCACCACCACCACTACACCACCACCACTACACCACCACCACTACTACTACACCACCACCACCACTACTACACCACCACCACCACCACCACCACTACACCACCACCACTACTACTACACCACCACCACCACCCTCACCACCGCCACCACCCTCACCACTACTACACCACCACCACTACACCACCACCACTACTACACCACCACCACCCTCACCACCACCACTACATCACTACCACCACCCCCACCACCACCACCACCACTACTACTACACCCCCACCACCACCACCCACACCACCACCCCGCTCACCGGCTGGAGTAAGCGAAGGCCGTGAAGAAGACGGCAAGGCCGTGCCGCCTTTGTCTCTCCCAGTACTAACAATGTCCACTACATCACCACGACCACCACCCTCACCACCACCACCACCACCACCCTCACCACCACCAACACCACTACTACACCACCACCACTACTACACCACCACCACCACCACCCTCACCACCACCACTACCACACCACCACCACTACTACACCACCACTACTACACCACCACCACTACTACACCACCACCACCACCCTCACCACCACCAACACCACCACTACTACTACACCACCACCACCACCCTCACCACCACCACCACCACCACTACACCACCACCACTACTACACCACCCTCACCACCACCACTACCCTCACCACCACCACTACTACACCACCACCACCACCCGCTCACCGGCTGGAGTAAGCGAAGGCCGTGAAGAAGACGGCAAGGCCGTGCCGCCTTTGTCTCTCCCAGTACTAACAATGTTCACTACAACACCACCACCACTACACCACCACCACTACTACACCACCACTACACCACCACCACCACTACTACACCACCACTACTACTACACCACCACCACCACCACTACACCACCACTACTACACCACCCTCACCACTATTACACCACTGCTACTACACCACCACCACCACTACTACACCACCACCATTACTACACCACCCTCACCACTACTACACCACCACCACCACCACCACCCTCACCACCCTCACCACCACCACCCACTCACCGGCTGGAGTAAGCGAAGGCCGTGAAGAAGACGGCAAGGCCGTGCCGCCTTTGTCTCTCCCAGTACTAACAATGTTCACTACATCACCACCACCACCAACACCACCACTACTACACCACCCTCACCACCACCACCACCACCATCACCACTACTACACCCTCACCACCCTCACCACCACCACACGCTCACCGGCTGGAGTAAGCGAAGGCCGTGAAGAAGACGGCAAGGCCGTGCCGCCTTTGTCTCTCCCAGTACTAACAATGTTCACTACATCACCACCACCACCACCACCACCCTCACCACCACCACTACCCTCACCACCACCACCACCACCCTCACCACCACCACACAGCTACACGCTCACCGGCTGGAGTAAGCGAAGGCCGTGAAGAAGACGGCAAGGCCGTGCCGCCTTTGTCTCTCCCAGTACTAACAATGTTCACTACATCACCACCACCACTACACCACCACCACTACACCACCACCACTACTACTACACCACCACCACCACTACTACACCACCACCACCACCACCACCACTACACCACCACCACTACTACTACACCACCACCACCACCCTCACCACCGCCACCACCCTCACCACTACTACACCACCACCACTACACCACCACCACTACTACACCACCACCACCCTCACCACCACCACTACATCACTACCACCACCCCCACCACCACCACCACCACTACTACTACACCACCACCACCACCACCCTCACCACCACCCCGCTCACCGGCTGGAGTAAGCGAAGGCCGTGAAGAAGACGGCAAGGCCGTGCCGCCTTTGTCTCTCCCAGTACTAACAATGTCCACTACATCACCACGACCACCACCCTCACCACCACCACCACCACCACCCTCACCACCACCAACACCACTACTACACCACCACCACTACTACACCACCACCACCACCACCCTCACCACCACCACTACCACACCACCACCACTACTACACCACCACTACTACACCACCACCACTACTACACCACCACCACCACCCTCACCACCACCAACACCACCACTACTACTACACCACCACCACCACCCTCACCACCACCACCACCACCACTACACCACCACCACTACTACACCACCCTCACCACCACCACTACCCTCACCACCACCACTACTACACCACCACCACCACCCGCTCACCGGCTGGAGTAAGCGAAGGCCGTGAAGAAGACGGCAAGGCCGTGCCGCCTTTGTCTCTCCCAGTACTAACAATGTTCACTACAACACCACCACCACTACACCACCACCACTACTACACCACCACTACACCACCACCACCACTACTACACCACCACTACTACTACACCACCACCACCACCACTACACCACCACTACTACACCACCCTCACCACTATTACACCACTGCTACTACACCACCACCACCACTACTACACCACCACCATTACTACACCACCCTCACCACTACTACACCACCACCACCACCACCACCCTCACCACCCTCACCACCACCACCCACTCACCGGCTGGAGTAAGCGAAGGCCGTGAAGAAGACGGCAAGGCCGTGCCGCCTTTGTCTCTCCCAGTACTAACAATGTTCACTACATCACCACCACCACCAACACCACCACTACTACACCACCCTCACCACCACCACCACCACCATCACCACTACTACACCCTCACCACCCTCACCACCACCACACGCTCACCGGCTGGAGTAAGCGAAGGCCGTGAAGAAGACGGCAAGGCCGTGCCGCCTTTGTCTCTCCCAGTACTAACAATGTTCACTACATCACCACCACCACCACCACCACCCTCACCACCACCACTACCCTCACCACCACCACCACCACCCTCACCACCACCACACAGCTACACGCTCACCGGCTGGAGTAAGCGAAGGCCGTGAAGAAGACGGCAAGGCCGTGCCGCAGGCGACCCTCCCCCTCCGTGGCCGGGTTATACCACAGCAGCAGCAGGCGGGACAGCAGGCGGGCGCTGAGCACGCGGCCAGACAGCAGCAGCTTGGAGAGGCCCTCAGCAGCTACACAGCGCAGGTCCACACTCTGGGGGTGAGGGGTGAGGGGGTGAGGGTGGTGAGAGGGTGAGGGTGAGGGTGAGAGGGTGAGGGGGTGAGAGGGGTGAGGAATGAGAGAGGCAGCAGCAGCTTGGCCAGGCCCTTAGAGAGCCTCAGAGGCACACAGAGACATACAGGGACATACAGGGACATACAGAGACACACAGAGACCCTCAGAGAGACACAGAGAGACACAGAGACACACAGGGACATACAGAGACCCTCAGAGAGACACAGAGACACACAGGGACATACAGAGACCCTCAGAGAGACAAAGAGACACACAGGGACATACAGGCGGGACAGCAGGCGGGCGCTGAGCACGCGGCCAGACAGCAGCAGCTTGGAGAGACCCTCAGCAGCTACACAGCGCAGGTCCACACTCTGGGGGTGAGAGGGGGTGAGAGGGGGTGAGGGTGAGGGTGAGAGGGTGAGGGGGGTGAGAGGGGGGTGAGGGTGAGGGTGGTGAGGAATGAGAGAGGCAGCAGCAGCTTGGCCAGGCCCTTAGAGAGCCTCAGAGACACACAGAGACACAGGGACACACAGAGACATACAGAGACACACAGAGACATACAGAGACATACAGAGACACACAGAGACACACAGAGACACACAGAGACACACAGAGACCCTCAGAGACACACAGAGAGACACAGAGACACACAGAGACCCTCAGAGAGACACAGAGACACAGGGACATACAGAGACATACAGAGACACACAGGGACACACAGGGACATACAGAGACACACAGAGACACACAGAGACATACAGAGACACACAGAGACACACAGAGACACACAGAGACACACAGTGACACACAGAGACACACAGAGACACACAGAGACCCTCAGAGAGACACAGAGACACACAGAGACCCTCAGAGAGACAAAGAGACACACAGGGACATACAGGCGGGACAGCAGGCGGGCACTGAGCACGCGGCCAGACAGCAGCAGCTTGGAGAGACCCTCGGCGGCTACACAGCGCAGGTCCACACTCTGGGGGTGAGGGTGAGGGGGTGAGAGGGGTGAGGGTGAGGGTGGTGAGGGTGAGGGTGAGAGGGGGTGAGGGTGAGAGGGGTGAGGAATGAGAGAGGCAGCAGCAGCTTGGCCAGGCCCTTAGAGAGCCTCAGAGACTCACAGAGACACAAAGAGACACAGAGACACACAGAGACACACAGAGACACACAGGGACATACAGAGACATACAGAGACACACAGAGACACACAGAGACACACAGAGACACACAGAGACCCTCAGAGACACACAGAGAGACACAGAGACACACAGAGACCCTCAGAGAGACACAGAGACACAGGGACATACAGAGACATACAGAGACACACAGAGAGACACAGAGACCCTCAGAGACACACAGAGAGACACAGAGACATACAGAGACACACAGAGACACACAGGGACATACAGAGACACACAGAGACACACAGTGACACACAGAGACCCTCAGAGAGACACAGAGACACACAGGGAGACACAGAGACACACAGAGACCCTCAGAGAGACAAAGAGACACACAGGGACATACAGGCGGGACAGCAGGCGGGCGCTGAGCACGCGGCCAGACAGCAGCAGCTTGGAGAGACCCTCAGCAGCTACACAGCGCAGGTCCACACTCTGGGGGTGAGAGGGGGTGAGAGGGGGTGAGGGTGAGAGGGGTGAGGGGGGTGAGAGGGGGTGAGAGGGGGTGAGGGGGGTGAGGGTGGTGAGGAATGAGAGAGGCAGCAGCAGCTTGGCCAGGCCCTTAGAGAGCCTCAGAGGCACACAGACACACAGGGACATACAGAGACCCTCAGAGAGACACAGAGACACACAGGGACACACAGAGACCCTCAGAGACACACAGAGAGACACAGAGAGACACAGAGACCCTCAGAGACACACAGAGACACACAGAGGCACACAGAGACACACAGAGACACACAGAGACACACAGAGACACACAGAGACACACAGAGAGACACAGAGACCCTCAGAGACACACAGAGACACACAGAGACACACAGGGACATACAGAGACACACAGAGACACACAGTGACATACAGAGACACACAGAGACACACAGTGACACACAGAGACACACAGAGACACACAGAGACACACAGAGACCCTCAGAGAGACACAGAGACACACAGAGACCCTCAGAGAGACAAAGAGACACACAGGGACATACAGGCGGGACAGCAGGCGGGCACTGAGCACGCGGCCAGACAGCAGCAGCTTGGAGAGACCCTCAGCAGCTACACAGCGCAGGTCCACACTCTGGGGGTGAGAGGGGTGAGAGGGGTGAGGGGGTGAGAGGGGGTGAGGGTGAGGGTGGTGAGGAATGAGAGAGACAGCAGCAGCTTGGCCAGGCCCTTAGAGAGCCTCAGAGACACACAGAGACACACAGGGACACACAGAGACACACAGAGAGACACAGAGACACACAGAGAGACACAGAGACACACAGAGACCCTCAGAGAGACACAGAGACACACAGAGAGACACAGAGACACACAGAGACCCTCAGAGAGACACAGAGACACACAGGGACATACAGACACACAGAGACCCTCAGAGACACACAGGGACATACAGAGACACACAGAGAGACACAGACACACACAGAGAGACACACAGAGAGACACACAGAGAGACACAGAGAGACACAGAGACCCTCAGAGAGACACAGAGACACACAGGGACATACAGAGACACACAGAGACACACAGAGACACACAGAGACCCTCAGAGAGACACAGAGACACACAGGGACATACAGAGACACACAGAGAGACACAGAGACACACAGAGACCCTCAGAGAGACACAGAGACACACAGAGACCCTCAGAGACACACAGAGACACACAGGGACATACAGAGACACACAGAGACACACAGTGACACACAGAGACCCTCAGAGAGACACAGAGACACACAGGGAGACACAGAGACACACAGAGACCCTCAGAGAGACAAAGAGACACACAGGGACATACAGGCGGGACAGCAGGCGGGCACTGAGCACGCGGCCAGACAGCAGCAGCTTGGAGAGACCCTCAGCAGCTACACAGCGCAGGTCCACACTCTGGGGGTGAGAGGGGGTGAGGGGGGTGAGGGGGTGAGGGGGTGAGAGGGGGTGAGAGGGGGGTGAGAGGGGTGAGGGTGAGGAGTGTGAGGGGGGTGAGGAATGAGAGAGACAGCAGCAGCTTCGAGAGACCCTCGGCAGCTACACAGGGCACGTCCACGCTCTGGGTGAGGGGGGTGAGGAGGGGGGTGAGAGGGGTGAGGGGGGTGAGGGGGGTGAGGAATGAGAGAGGCAGCAGCAGCTTGGCCAGGCCCTTAGAGAGCCTCAGAGACACACAGAGAGACACACAGGGACACACACAGAGACCCACAGAGAGAGAGACACAGACACACAGACACACACAGACACACAGAGACACACAGAGACACGAAGAGACCCACAGAGACACGAAGAGACCCACACACAGAGACCCACAAAGACACGAAGAGACACACAGAGAGACACACAGAGAGATACACAGAGACACAGAGAGACCCACACAGAGACCCACAGAGAGACACAGAGAGACACACAGAGACACACATAGAGACACACAGAGACCCACAGAGAGACACACAGAGACACACACAGAGACACAGAGAGACCCACACAGAGACCCACAGAGAGACACACAGAGCCACACATAGAGACACACAGAGACACACACAGAGACCCACAGATACCCACAGGGAGACACACAGAGACCCACAGAGACCCACACAAAGACACACAGAGACCCACACAGAGACCCACAGAGAGACACACAGAAAGACACACAGAGAGACCCAGAGAGAGACACACGGAGACCCAGAGAGAGACACACGGAGACACAGAGAGACACACAGACACACAGAGACACACACAGAGAGACACAGAGATACACACAGAGAGACACACAGACACACAGAGACACACAGAGATACACACAGAGAGACACACACAGAGACCCACAGAGAGACACACAGAGAGACACACAGAGACCCACAGAGAGACACACAGAGAGACACACAGAGACCCACAGAGAGACACACAGAGAGACCCACAGAGAGACACAGAGAGACCCACACACAGAGACACACAGAGAGACACACAGAGACCCACAGAGAGACACACACAGAGACCCACAGAGAGACCCACAGAGAGACACAGAGAGACCCACACACAGAGACACACAGAGAGACACAGAGACCCACACAGATACCCACAGAGAGACACACAGAGACACACAGAGAGACACACAAAGACCCACACAGAGACCCACAGAGACCCACAGAGAGACACACAGAGACACACAGAGACACACAGAGACACAGAGAGACACAGAGAGACCCACAGAGACCCACACAGAGACCCTAACAGACCAACAGAGACCCACAGAGACCCACACAGAGACCCAGACACAACAACAACCGCCATTCGCCACTAAGTGGCGGTGACGTCACCACGACACTTGTGCCAGGCCAGGCACATAGACACACACACAAAGACACACACACACACAGAGACACACACACACACACAGAGACACACACACACACACAGAGACACACACACACAGACACACACACACAGAGACACACACACACACACAGACACACACACACACACAGAGACACACACACACACAGAGACACACACACACACAGAGACACACACAGAGACACACACACACACAGAGACACACACACAGAGGTGACCCAGTCTACCCAGCGAGACGAGTGTGGTGGCGGTGGTGGAGGAGGTGGTGGTGGAGGTGTCGGTGATGGCGGTGGTGGTGGCGGTGGTGGTGGAGGTGTCGGTGATGGCGGTGGTGGTAGTGGAGGTGGCGGTGGTGGCGGCGGTGGTAGTGGAGGTGGCGGTGATGGTGGCGGTGGTAGTGGTGATGGTGGTGGTGGTGATGGTGATGAGGATGGTGGTGGTGGTGGTGATGGTGGTGATGATGATGATGGTGGAGGTGGTGGTGATGGTGGTGGTGATGATGATGGTGGTGGTGATGGTGGTAGTGGAGGTGGCGGTGATGGCGGTGGTGGTGGCGGTGGTGGTGATGGTGGAGGTGGTGGTGGTGGCGGTGGTAGTGGAGGTGGCGGTGGTGTCGGTGGTGGTGGTGTCGGTGGTGGTGGCGGCTGTCTAATCCGCCCCCACCTCTCCATCCAGGAAGCTGGACAGCAGTGCGAGGATTGATCCCACGGTCTTGGCTCCGTCCCGTCTCTCCTCTTCCTTCCTCATCGCCACCTCCTCCTCCTCCTCCTCCTCAGCCTCCTCCTCCTCCTCCTCCGCCCCCTCAGGCAAAGCGAAGGCCTCAAGGCCGTGGGTCTGCAGGATGTCGAAGATGGCCTTCAGCGCTATGCAGCGCACCTCCTCCGTGTCAATCTCCGCCATCTGGGGGGGGGGGGGAGGAGGAGAGGGAGGGGGGGTGACCCGGTCAGGTGACCCGGTCAGGTGACCCGGTCAGGTGGTCCGGTCTACCCGCAACATCTCTCCGTTTCTCTCCCCGAGTCTCTCTCTGAGTCTCTCTCCCAGTGTCTCTCTCCGTGTCTCTCTCTCCGCGTCTCTCTCCCCGCTTGTCTCTCCCCCCGCTTGTCTCTCTCCCCGCGTCTCTCTCCGTGTCTCTCTCTCCCGGTGTCTCTCTCCCCGCTTGTCTCTCCCCCCGCTTGTCTCTCTCCCCGCGTCTCTCTCCGTGTCTCTCTCTCCCGGTGTCTCTCTCCCCGCGTCTCTCTCCGTGTCTCTCTCTCCCGGTGTCTCTCTCCCCGCGTCTCTCTCCCTGCGTCTCTCTCCCAGTGTCTCTCTCCCCGCGTCTCTCTCCCAGTGTCTCTCTCCCCGCGTCTCTCTCCCCGCGTCTCTCTCTCCCCGTGTCTCTCTCCGTGTCTCTCTCTCTGTGTCTCTCTCCCCGTCTCTCTCTCTCTCCCCGTGTCTCTCTCCGTGTCTCTCTCTCTGTGTCTCTCTCCCTCTCTCTCCGTCTCTCTCTCTCCCTGTGTCTCTCTCTCTGTCTCTCCCCGTGTCTCTCTGCACCTGGAAGAGGAGGCCGAGGTGCTGGGTGGCGAGCTCTCTGTCTCTCTCTCCCCGTGTCTCTCTCTCTGTCTCTCCCCATTCTCTCTCTCTCCCCGTGTCTCTCTCCGTGTCTCTCTCTCTGTGTCTCTCTCCCTCTCTCTCTGTCTCTCTCTCTCCCCGTGTCTCTGTCTCTCTCCCCGTGTCTCTCTCTCTCCCCGTGTCTCTCTCCGTGTCTCTCTCTCTGTGTCTCTCTCCCTCTCTCTCTGTCTCTCTCTCTCTCCCCGTGTCTCTGTCTCTCTGTCTCTCTCCCTGTGTCTCTCTCTCCCCGTGTCTCTCTCCCTGTCTCTCTCTCTCTGTACCTGGAAGAGGAGGCCGAGGTGCTGGGTGGCGAGCTCTCTGTCTCTCTCTCTCCCTGTCTCTCTCTGTGTCTCTCTCTCTCTCTCCCTGTGTCTGTCTCTCTCTCTCTGTCTCTGTGTACCTGGAAGAGGAGGCCGAGGTGCTGGGTGGCGAGCTCTCTGTGTCTCTCTCTGTGTCTCTCTCTCTGTGTCTCTCTCTCTCTCTCTGTCTCTCTCTCTCTGTCTCACTCTCTGTCTCTCTCTCTCTCTCTGTCTCTCTCTCCCCGTGTCTCTCTCTCTCTGTCTCTCTCTCTGTCTCTCTCTCTGCACCTGGAAGAGGAGGCCGAGGTGCTGGGTGGCGAGCTCTCTGTGTCTCTCTCTCTGTGTCTCTCTCTCTGTGTCTCTCTCCCCGTGTCTCTGTCTCTCTGTCTCTATGTACCTGGAAGAGGAGGCCGAGGTGCTGGGTGGCCAGCTCTCTGTGTCTCTCTCTCTGTGTCTCTCTCTCTGTCTCTCTCTGTCTCTCCCTGTGTCTCTCCCCGTGTCTCTGTCTCTGTCTCTCTGTCTGTACCTGGAAGAGGAGGCCGAGGTGCTGGGTGGCCAGCTCTCTGTGTCTCTCTCTCTGTGTCTCTCTCTGTCTCTGTGTCTCTACCCGTGTCTCTGTGTACCTGGAAGAGGAGGCCGAGGTGCTGGGTGGCCAGCTCTCTGTGTCTCTCTCTCTGTGTCTCTCTCTGTCTCTGTGTCTCTACCCGTGTCTCTGTGTACCTGGAAGAGGAGGCCGAGGTGCTGGGTGGCCAGCTCTCTGTGTCTCTCTCTCTGTGTCTCTCTCTGTCTCTGTGTCTCTACCCGTGTCTCTGTGTACCTGGAAGAGGAGGCCGAGGTGCTGGGTGGCCAGCTCTCTGTGTCTCTCTCTCTGTGTCTCTCTGTCTCTCTCTCTGTGTCTCTCTCTGTCTCTGTGTCTCTACCCGTGTCTCTGTGTACCTGGAAGAGGAGGCCGAGGTGCTGGGTGGCCAGCTCTCTGTGTCTCTCTCTCTGTGTCTCTCTCTGTCTCTGTGTCTCTACCCGTGTCTCTGTGTACCTGGAAGAGGAGGCCGAGGTGCTGGGTGGCCAGCTCTCTGTGTCTCTCTCTCTGTGTCTCTCTCTGTCTCTGTGTCTCTACCCGTGTCTCTGTGTACCTGGAAGAGGAGGCCGAGGTGCTGGGTGGCCAGCTCTCTGTGTCTCTCTCTCTGTGTCTCTCTCTATCTCTGTGTCTCTACCCGTGTCTCTGTGTACCTGGAAGAGGAGGCCGAGGTGCTGGGTGGCCAGCTCTCTGTGTCTCTCTCTCTGTGTCTCTCTCTATCTCTGTGTCTCTACCCGTGTCTCTGTGTACCTGGAAGAGGAGGCCGAGGTGCTGGGTGGCCAGCTCTCTGTGTCTCTCTCTCTGTGTCTCTCTCTGTCTCTGTGTCTCTACCCGTGTCTCTGTGTACCTGGAAGAGGAGGCCGAGGTGCTGGGTGGCCAGCTCTCTGTGTCTCTCTCTCTGTGTCTCTCTCTGTCTCTGTGTCTCTACCCGTGTCTCTGTGTACCTGGAAGAGGAGGCCGAGGTGCTGGGTGGCCAGCTCTCTGTGTCTCTCTCTCTGTGTCTCTCTCTGTCTCTGTGTCTCTACCCGTGTCTCTGTGTACCTGGATGAGGAGGCCGTGGTGCTGGGTGGCCATCTCTCTGTGTCTCTCTCTCTGTGTCTCTCTGTCTCTCTCTCTGTGTCTCTCTCTGTCTCTGTGTCTCTACCCGTGTCTCTGTGTACCTGGAAGAGGAGGCCGAGGTGCTGGGTGGCCAGCTCTCTGTGTCTCTCTCTCTGTGTCTCTCTCTGTCTCTCTACCCGTGTCTCTGTGTACCTGGAAGAGGAGGCCGAGGTGCTGGGTGGCCAGCTCTCTGTGTCTCTCTCTCTGTGTCTCTCTCTATCTCTGTGTCTCTACCCGTGTCTCTGTGTACCTGGAAGAGGAGGCCGAGGTGCTGGGTGGCCAGCTCTCTGTGTCTCTCTGTGTCTCTCTCCCCGTGTCTCTCTCTGTCTCTCACTCCCCGTCTCTCTCTCTCTCTCCCCGTGTCTCTCTCCCTGTGTCTGTCTCTCTCCCTGTGTCTCTCTGTGTACCTGGAAGAGGAGGCCGAGGTGCTGGGTGGCCAGCTCTCTGTGTCTCTCTCTCTGTGTCTCTCTGTCTCTCTCTCTGTGTCTCTCTCTGTCTCTGTGTCTCTACCCGTGTCTCTGTGTACCTGGAAGAGGAGGCCGAGGTGCTGGGTGGCCAGCTCTCTGTGTCTCTCTCTCTCTGTGTCTCTCTCTCTGTCTCTGTCTCTCTCTGTCTCTCTGTGTCTCTCTCTCTGTGTCTCTCTCCCTGTGTCTGTCTCTCTCCCTGTGTCTCTCTGTGCACCTGGAAGAGGAGGCCGAGGTGCTGGGTGGCCAGCTCTCTGTGTCTCTCTCCCCGTGTCTCTCTCCCTGTGTCTGTCTCTCTCCCTGTGTCTCTGTGTACCTGGAAGAGGAGGCCGAGGTGCTGGGTGGCCAGCTCTCTGTGTCTCTCTCTCTGTGTCTCTCTCTGTCTCTGTGTCTCTACCCGTGTCTCTGTGTACCTGGAAGAGGAGGCCGAGGTGCTGGGTGGCCAGCTCTCTGTGTCTCTCTCTCTGTGTCTCTCTCTGTCTCTGTGTCTCTACCCGTGTCTCTGTGTACCTGGAAGAGGAGGCCGAGGTGCTGGGTGGCCAGCTCTCTGTGTCTCTCTCTCTGTGTCTCTCTCTGTCTGTGTCTCTACCCATGTCTCTGTGTACCTGGAAGAGGAGGCCGAGGTGCTGGGTGGCCAGCTCTCTGTGTCTCTCTCTCTGTGTCTCTCTCTATCTCTGTGTCTCTACCCGTGTCTCTGTGTACCTGGAAGAGGAGGCCGAGGTGCTGGGTGGCCAGCTCTCTGTGTCTCTCTGTGTCTCTCTCCCCGTGTCTCTCTCTGTCTCTCACTCCCCGTCTCTCTCTCTCTCTCCCCGTGTCTCTCTCCCTGTGTCTGTCTCTCTCCCTGTGTCTCTCTGTGTACCTGGAAGAGGAGGCCGAGGTGCTGGGTGGCCAGCTCTCTGTGTCTCTCTCTCTGTGTCTCTCTGTCTCTCTCTCTGTGTCTCTCTCTGTGTCTCTCTCTGTCTCTGTGTCTCTACCCGTGTCTCTGTGTACCTGGAAGAGGAGGCCGAGGTGCTGGGTGGCCAGCTCTCTGTGTCTCTCTCTCTCTGTGTCTCTCTCTCTGTCTCTGTCTCTCTCTGTCTCTCTGTGTCTCTCTCTCTGTGTCTCTCTCCCTGTGTCTGTCTCTCTCCCTGTGTCTCTCTGTGCACCTGGAAGAGGAGGCCGAGGTGCTGGGTGGCCAGCTCTCTGTGTCTCTCTCCCCGTGTCTCTCTCCCTGTGTCTGTCTCTCTCCCTGTGTCTCTGTGTACCTGGAAGAGGAGGCCGAGGTGCTGGGTGGCCAGCTCTCTGTGTCTCTCTCTCTGTGTCTCTCTCTGTCTCTGTGTCTCTACCCGTGTCTCTGTGTACCTGGAAGAGGAGGCCGAGGTGCTGGGTGGCCAGCTCTCTGTGTCTCTCTCTCTCTGTGTCTCTCTCCCTGTGTCTGTCTCTCTACCCGTGTCTCTGTGTACCTGGAAGAGGAGGCCGAGGTGCTGGGTGGCCAGCTCTCTGTGTCTCTCTCTCTGTGTCTCTCTCTGTCTCTGTCTCTCTCCCTGTGTCTCTCTGTGCACCTGGAAGAGGAGGCCGAGGTGCTGGGTGGCCAGCTCTCTGTGTCTCTCTCCCCGTGTCTCTGTCTCTCTGTGTCTCTCTGTCTCTCTGTACCTGGAAGAGGAGGCCGAGGTGCTGGGTGGCCAGCTCTCTGTGTCTCTCTCCCCGTGTCTCTCTCCCTGTGTCTGTCTCTCTCCCTGTGTCTCTCTGTGTACCTGGAAGAGGAGGCCAAGGTGCTGGGTGGCCAGCTCTCTGTGTCTCTCTCTCTGTGTCTCTCTCTGTCTCTGTCTCTCTACCCGTGTCTCTGTGTACCTGGAAGAGGAGGCCGAGGTGCTGGGTGGCCAGCTCTCTGTGTCTCTCTCTGTCTCTGTGTCTCTCTCCCCGTGTCTCTCTCTGTCTCTCTCTCTCTGTGTCTCTCTCCCCGTGTCTCTGTCTCTCTGTACCTGGAAGAGGAGGCCGAGGTGCTGGGTGGCCAGCTCTCTGTGTCTCTCTCTGTCTCTGTGTCTCTCTCCCCGTGTCTCTCTCTGTCTCTCTCTCTCTGTGTCTCTCTCCCCGTGTCTCTGTCTCTCTGTACCTGGAAGAGGAGGCCGAGGTGCTGGGTGGCCAGCTCTCTGTGTCTCTCTCTCTGTGTCTCTCTCTGTGTCTCTCTCTGTCTCTGTGTCTCTACCCGTGTCTCTGTGCACCTGGAAGAGGAGGCCGAGGTGCTGGGTGGCCAGCTCTCTGTGTCTCTCTCTGTCTCTCTCCCCGTCTCTCTCTCTCTCCCCGTGTCTCTCTCCCTGTGTCTGTCTCTCTCCCTGTGTCTCTCTGTGCACCTGGAAGAGGAGGCCAAGGTGCTGGGTGGCCAGCTCTCTGCTCTGCAGGGCGCTGGAGCCAAGGCAGAGGACGGCGACACTCCGCACCGCCGGCTCCTCATTCACAATGCCCGGTAGCACCTGCACAGACAAAGGTCCCCCAGGTAGCCTCTAGCAAGGGCTGTAGGGGCAAGTGCTGAGACACAGACAAAGCTCCCCCAGGTAGCCTCTAGCAGGGCTGTAGGGGCAAGTGCTGAGACACAGACAAAGCTCCCCCAGGTAGCCTCGGGCAGGGCTGTAGGGGCAAGTGCCGAGACACAGACAAAGCTCCCCCAGGTAGCCTCTAGCAGGGCTGTAGGGGCAAGTACTTAGACACAGACAAAGCTCCCCCTGGTAGCCTCTAGCAGGGGGCAAGTGCTGAGACACAGACAAAGCTCCCCCAGGTAGCCTCTAGCAGGGCTGTAGGGGCAAGTGCTGAGACACAGACAAAGCTCCCCCAGGTAGCCTCTAGCAGGGCTGAAGGGGCAAGTGCTGAGACACAGACAAAGCTCCCCCTGGTAGCCTCTAGCAGGGGCTGTAGGGGCAAGTGCTGAGACACAGACAAAGGTCCCCCAGGTAGCCTCTAGCAGGGCTGTAGGGGCAAGTGCCGAGACACAGACAAAGCTCTCCCAGGTAGCCTCTAGCAAGGGCTGTAGGGGCAAGTGCTGAGACACAGACACAGCTGGGGTCACCAGCTCGTGCAGCATGTGTGTGTACGTGTGTGATCACAAATCTCTATTTAACTCCATCAAAAAAGTAACCTGCAGCGCCACACCTATTACCATCATTAGGGGAAAAAACGGTGATCCAATCTCCGACCCCCAGGAACAGGTTTGCAGATTTGCTGAGCATTTCTGTGAGGTCCTGGGGGAGGGGAGAATCCCTCGGCCAGGAAAACATCGTGGCACAAAGTGAGGGTGACCCTGCTGAGGCTGCGGTGCCTCAAATATTGGAAGAAGTCACCCCCTGTGAGTGGCTGGCTGAGGTGCCATCTGTTGAGGAAGTACTGAAGGCGATCCGGAGTCTGAGACCAGGAAAGGCAGCGGGCAGAGATTATCTCCCAAGCGAAATGCTGAGGGAGGGTGGCGTTTGTGCACAGACTGCCCTACATGACATCATAACAACAGTCTGGACCACTGGACGGGTTCCGCAGGATTGGAAGGATGCCCTGGTGGTCCCCCTTTTTAAGAAGGGGGACCGCACAGACTGTAACAACTACAGGGGCATCTCACTCCTCAGTGTGCCGGGAAAGGTCCTGGCAAGGATTATTCAACATCGCCTTGCCAGGCACGCTGAGGAGAGGCTTGCGGAGCCCCAATGCGGTTTCAGGAAAGGGCGGTCCTGCACAGATGCCATATTTTCTGTCCGTCTGCTACAGCAGAGGTGTAGGGAATTCCAACAAGACCTACATCTCTGCTTTATTGACCTGGTCAAGGCCTATGATACCATCAGTAGGCCTGGGCTCTGGGTCGTTCTTCATGCTTTTGGAGTACCTGACCCTCTGCTCACGATCATTAAGGACCTTCATGATGGTGAGCGGGCCCGGGTAAAACTACGTGGCCGGGAGTCAGAGTCATTCCCTCTACACCTTGGGGTGCGACAGGGATGTCCCTCTGGCTCCCACATTATTTAACATCTATTTTGACCACGTAGTTCGTGAAGCCTTCAATAGCTGTACCGGGGGAATCTCCATTTGGTACAGATATAATGGGAGGCTGATCGATGCCCGGGTGCGGTCAAAGGATGGCTCCCTATTGCTCAACCACGTTATGTATGACGATGATTTGGTAATAGCTGCACATTCGGAGGAAGAGTTGGAGGCGCGGCTGCTGAGACTGGAGCTTGCCACTAAGAGGTGGGGCCTTACCATCAGCCCCACCAAAACTAGGCACCTGCCTGGGTATTTTGTACCATCGGACACTCCACCCCCACAACTCCCAATCGGTGATGGGGCAGTTGTGGAGAGAGTGGAGAGTTTCCCATACCTGGGCAGTGTGCTTATGACTGGCTCCAGTTTAACAGCAGAGGTCTCACTCCGAATCAGTCGAGCGGCAATATCTTTTCATCGGTTGCGTAACGCTGTGTGGAAGCTACCTGGTCTGTCGCTCCGCACTAAGTTTCAGGTCTTCTCGGCCACGGTCATTCCCTCCCTTCTCTACGCTTGCGAAACGTGGACCCCCCTAATGGAACATCTTCGCCGGTTAGAAACATTTAGGCTGGCCTGCCTACGATCCATCCTGGGTTTAACCAGACTGGATTGTGTGAGGAGCTCACAAATCCTTGAAAGATCTGGGCAAGGTCCCATCCGTGAGCTCCTCCGGCAGGCAAGGCTGCGTTGGCTGGGTCATGTAGCCCGCATGCCCAGCCACCGCATGCCGAAACAGCTTTTGTTTGGCCGGATTGAGGGGGCTAAGCGGGCGCGGCACGGGCTAGAGAAGAGATGGAGTGATGTGGTACAGGAGGACGTGGAGCTGAGTGGACTTGCCGATGACTGGTACCAGCGGTGTCAAGATCGGCCTCTGTGGAGGAGGCTCGTGAAGGACGCTACTGGGCAGTTGGAGGCAGTCGCCCTCCAACAACAACGGAGGGCGGAGGAGCGACGCTCACAACAGCGAGCGGAGCGCCGGGTGGCTAAAGCACAGCAGGTTGGCACAGTAGGGGGCACAGGTGGTGCATCAGCCAGTCATCTCAGTCAGTCGACCCGTGGCACCTGCTGGGTCTGCCCAGTGACCTCCTGCCAGCGGGCGTTCGACACTTCACGTGGCCTCAGGGTGCACATAGCCTGGCACAAGCGTCGTGGTGACGTCACCGCCACTTAGTGGCGAATGGCGGTTGTTGTTGTATGTATATATATACATATATATATATGCATGTATATATGTGTGTATGTATATGTGTATATAAGTGTGTATGTATATATGTGTATATATATATGTGACTGTATATATATGTGACTGTGTATATATATGTATCTGTGTGTGTGTATATATATGTATATATGTATCTGTGTGTGTGTATATCTGTATATATATGTATCTGTGTGTGTATGTATATGTGTATATATGTATATGACTGTGTATGTATATATGTGTATATATGTATATCTGTGTATATGTATATGACTGTGTGTGTATATATATGTATCTGTGTGTATATATATGTATCTGTGTGTGTATATATGTATCTGTGTGTGTATATATATGTATCTGTGTGTGTATATATGTATCTGTGTGTATGTGTATATATATGTATCTGTGTGTATGTGTATATATATATGTATCTGTGTGTGTATATATGTATCTGTGTGTGTATATATATGTATCTGTGTGTATGTGTATATATGTGTATCTGTGTGTATATATGTATATATATATGTGTGTGTATCTGTGTGTGTATGTGTATATGTATATGACTGTGAGTGTATATATACGTGTGTATCTGTGAGTGTCCCCCACCAGCTCGTGTAGCAAGCAGGCGACGGTTGGCTGCAGCGACCGGCCCAGCGGCAGCACCTTGATGAGCTCGGCCAGCATGGTGAGACATCGTAGCAGAGTCTCAGGGTCACTCTGTGAATCATCATCGTCATCATCATCATCATCATCACTCTGTGAATCATCATCGTCATCATCACCAACATCATCAACATCACCATCACCAGCATGGTGAGACATCGTAGCAGAGTCTCAGCATCACTCTGTGAATCATCATCGTCAACATCATCATCACTCTGTGAATCATCATCGTCAACATCACCAACATCATCAACATCACCATCACCAGCATGGTGAGACATCGTAGCAGAGTGTCAGGGTCACTCTGTGAATCATCATCGTCATCATCATCACTCTGTGAATCATCATCACCAGCATGGTGAGACATCGTAGCAGAGTCTCAGCATCACTCTGTGAATCATCATCGTCAACATCATCATCACTCTGTGAATCATCATCACTCTGTGAATCATCATCATGGTGAGACATCCTAGCAGAGTCTCAGGGTCACTCTGTGAATCATCATCATCATCACCATCACCAGCATGGTGAGGCATCGTAGCAGAGTATCAGCATCACTCTGTGAATCATCAGCATCATCACTCTGTGAATCATCATCGTCACTCTGTGAATCATCATCATCATCACCATCACCAGCATGGTGAGACATCGTAGCAGAGTATCAGCATCACTCTGTGAATCATCAGCATCATCACTCTGTGAATCATCATCGTCACTCTGTGAATCATCATCATCATCATCACCATCACCAGCATGGTGAGACATCGTAGCAGAGTCTCAGCGTCACTCTGTGAATCATCAGCATCATCACTCTGTGAATCATCATCGTCACTCTGTGAATCATCATCATCATCATCACCACCACCACCACCAACACCACCAACACCACCAACACCACCACCCCCACCACCACCACCACCACCCACCACCACCAACACCACCACCAACACCACCAACACCACCACCACCAACACCACCACCACCAACACCACCACCACCCCCACCACCACCACCGCCACCATCACCACCACCCCCACCACCGCCACCACCGCAACCATCACCACCACCACCACCATCACCACCATCACCACCACCACCACCACCCCCACCACCACCACCACCACCCCCATCACCACCACCACCACCATCACCTTCTCCACACGCTGCTCTGCTGGTTGTTGTTGTTGTTGTTGTTCTTCACGAGTGATCTCCTCACGCTCGGCCTCCAGCTCCTCCACGGTGACCTTGAGGCGCTGTGCGCCCACAAACTCCTGCATGGAGACGCAGTGATCCATCTCCTCCCTCGCCTCGTGGAGACGAACTTTCACTGAAGCCAGCTACACACAAGCATCAGGGTTAGTGTGTGAGTGAGTGTATGAGTGAGTGAGTGAGTGTATGAGTGAGTGAGTGTATGAGTGAGTGTATGAGTGAGTGAGTGAGTGTATGAGTGAGTGAGTGTATGAGTGAGTGTATGAGTGAGTGTGTGAGTGAGTGAGTAAGTGTATGAGTGTATGTGTGAGTTTGTGAGTGTATGAGTGAGTGTATGAGTGAGTGAGTGTATGAGTGAGTGAGTGTATGAGTGAGTGAGTGTATGAGTGAGTGTATGAGTGAGTGTATGAGTGAGTGTATGAGTGAGTGAGTGTATGAGTGAGTGAGTGTATGAGTGAGTGTATGAGTGAGTGTGTGAGTGAGTGAGTAAGTGTATGAGTGTATGTGTGAGTTTGTGAGTGTATGAGTGAGTGTATGAGTGAGTGAGTGTATGAGTGAGTGAGTGTATGAGTGAGTGAGTGTATGAGTGAGTGAGTGTATGAGTGAGTGTATGAGTGAGTGTATGAGTGAGTGTATGAGTGAGTGAGTGTATGAGTGAGTGTATGAGTGAGTGTATGAGTGAGTGAGTGTATGAGTGAGTGAGTGTATGAGTGAGTGTATGAGTGAGTGAGTGTATGAGTGAGTGTATGAGTGAGTGTATGAGTGACTGTATGGAGACACAGTGCTCCATCTCCTCCCTCGCCTCGTGGAGACGAACTTTCACTGAGGCCAGCTACACACAAGCGTCAAGGTTAGTGTGTGAGTGTGTGAGTGTGTGAGTGAGTGTATGAGTGAGTGTGTGAGTGAGTGAGTGTATGAGTGAGTGTATGAGTGAGTGTGTGAGTGAGTGAGTGTATGAGTGAGTGAGTGTATGAGTGAGTGAGTGTATGAGTGAGTGTATGAGTGAGTGTATGAGTGAGTGTATGAGTGAGTGTGTGAGTGTGTGAGTGAGTGTATGAGTGAGTGTGTGAGTGAGTGTATGAGTGTGTATGAGTGAGTGTGTGAGTGAGTGAGTGTATGAGTGAGTGAGTGTATGAGTGAGTGAGTGTATGAGTGAGTGAGTGTATGAGTGAGTGTATGAGTGAGTGAGTGTATGAGTGAGTGTATGAGTGAGTGTGTGAGTGTGTGAGTGTGTGAGTGTATGAGTGAGTGTGTGAGTGTATGAGTGTATGAGTGAGTGTGTCAGTGAGTGTATGAGTGAGTGAGTGTATGAGTGAGTGTATGAGTGAGTGTATGAGTGTGTGAGTGAGTGTGTGAGTGAGTGTATGAGTGAGTGTATGAGTGAGTGAGTGTGTGTATGAGTGTGTGAGTGAGTGTGTGAGTGAGTGTATGAGTGAGTGTATGAGTGTGTGAGTGAGTGTGTGAGTGAGTGTATGAGTTTGTGTGTGAGTGAGTGTATGAGTGAGTGAGTGTATGTATGAGTGAGTGAGTGTATGAGTGTATGTGTGAGTGAGTGAGTGTATGAGTATATGAGTGTGTGAGTGAGTGAGTGTATGAGTGAGTGTATGAGTGTGTGAGTGAGTGTGTGAGTGAGTGTATGAGTGAGTGTATGAGTGAGTGAGTGTG